ATGTGGGGAGAGGAGATAAAAGTGTTCAAGCTGGGAATAGAAGGTGAATCATATAATCATATAATCAATAATGAACAGAAATTCTTAACAGGCAGCCTCTGCTTTGCTGTGCTTTAGTTTCCTGCTCTCCAGTCCCCTTTCAGATTGAAATTATTTTTCTGATGGTAATTTACAACCTCATTCCTCAGTCTGTCTTTCCTGAGAGACAGGAACACTTTGGTGAACCTCACAGTGCTGCTTAATGCTGCTGAGAGCAATTAAATTGTTGACAAGAGCAGAGCTGCAGAACAGGAAAATAAATAATCCAAAGATGTGTGATGCTGGAATTGTTCTGTACTGTATTTAAGTGTCTGCCTAATAAGTTTCAGGGGGAAGGGTTACATTATGGCTGCCTATAGAAGACTAGGGCTGGGGAATAGTTTTCTTTCAAACCTTTCTAGAGTCTTGTCTAGGCTGTTTTAAGGCTGTACCTTTGTGCAGTAGCAGTTATGTATGGCCAGTCTCAGGTGTGTATTTTACCTGTAGGATGGGCTGAAGTTTGCCATGTTCAATAAATTGACACTGTTTGAAGCTCATCTCGAATTCTTTTGAATGCTTTGTATAAATGTGTTTGGGAGAGTTAGAAATTTCAGCTGGCAAAAGTCTGTTAAGATTCTTGTAATTAATTCTTTTGATTTCTTTCCCTTTTAAATCTTTCAGATATGTGTTTATTGCACCCAGGACGCCTTTGAGTTCAGAATTAGTTCAAGGAATCATCTGTTTACTCACATTCCTAACATCTCATGGTCACTTTCTTCGTGCTTTTAGCCTAAAATGCATATGTTTGCAACTGTTTCATTTTCAAGGTGGTCTTCAGAGAGTAGTTGTCTTCACAGATTCGAAACCTCTACTTTGTTTCATCTCTCATAGCTGCTTTATTTTGCCTGCTAGTCTCAAGACATCTGGTGTGTATACTGCTGTGCTTTAAAGCAAGTTTTTCACTTTCCTTGCTTTTCAGAGCTTCTAATACAGATTTCGTCACAGTTGATTTCTTAAATACACTGTACTCCTGCATTCAGTGGTAGACTGTACTAATTAATTTTATTGAGTAGTTTATACACAGTCAGGAGTTTGTCTTTTGTGAAAAGTCTTGACTGAAAGTCTTCAGCTGCTACTCAGTTAAATGATCTCCCTTAGAATCATATAATAAAGGACAGGAAAAAAAAAATGTACTTGCTTACTAACCTTAGGTTTGTAGCCTGTGCTTTTCTGTGCCAACAGTTCTTGGCCAGATCTTTATTTTGTCACCCTTAAGACTTTGACAGTTCTTTCAAATAAATTAGTCTTTCACTTTCTTTCTGCGTTCCTCAGGCCTATCTGGTTCATAATTTATGAAGGAAATGGTCTCATAATCTTGTAATATTAATTGTCTAGTTTTTATAAGAGAACAGACCTGTGTCCATATGCTTATGTATATATGCACTATGTGCATATCTAACATGATTTTTAACATCTCAGCAATGATTTGAAATATCCCTGGGGAACGATTCGAGCTGGATTTTCAAGTTGTGAAACTGATACATCCCAAAAGCCTTTGTCACATGCTAAGAGGTTGGTTTGGGAGGGAGTTCACTGCAGGTGCTGGTTGGAGGCTTGCTGGATTCATTAACTAGGCTGGAGCTGAGTTACCCCTGCAGTGAGCCACGCCAGATGGGTGGCACAGGAGATGGACTTTCTTCATAAAACAAACAGAGCTTCAGCAGCTTTTCTTGCTGGTATCTGTTTGGAATCTGTCACATCCTGTGTTATCAGCAGTGGCCTTTATTAGGCCATGACCCTTTGGAGCCCGTGTCACTTCAGAGAGTCCTTAGAAGTTTTTATGACTTAAGCTTTGCATGGCTTGAACTAACAGTGGAGATGTCAGTTGGCACGTTGTGCTGCATTGCAGATTCCTTACCCACTTAATTCCTACCCAGACAGAAAATTTGAAAACAGGTTGTGTTGAAGGAGACTTCTGTCCAGCAACAGCAACAAAAGTCTGCCCCAGAATAAGATTGTTTGAATATTTCCTTTTTTGTTTGTTTGATTTAGATCAGCTTAATAATATATACATGTGACACTGATTTATTGTTCTGAATGATGAGGAAAGGTTATTTTGAAGACTTGTTATTAAATTATAAACTCGGTGACCAGAATCTTATCAGCTGTATTACTGACCTGTAGAAATGTTTATATAAACCAGTTAGTTGTAAATAAACACACTTAAACATGAGAGACAAATAAATTGTAAGTAAACATACTTTTATATATAAGGGAAATCTTTAGTAAAACTTCTAAAATCAGCTTTTTATTTAACATTGTTTTACCTCTATCTGTTTAATTCTATCCAAGATCAGCTCTAAATGTGTCTCCAAGATCTCTTGGGTCCTACTAAATAAAGGATTACATAGCATAAAAATGAAGAACTGTATCTATAAGGTTTATAAATGTATAACAGATGAGCAAAAAGCACTGTCAAACTTGGCATAGACTTACCCTCTGTTTCAAATCAACTTTCAGCTAAGGAGAATTAACTTTTCTTCTGGAAAGTACAAATACAGAATCTGAGTGTAACTGTTTAAACCAAGGTGTCTTCCTTTCAGATTTAAATTAGAATTGGTGATTTTGTGTATTTTGGTGTAAGTCAATCCACTTCATCTGAAGGTGGAAGCTTATTTTTTCTGAACCCTGATAGTTTGGTAAAATCCTTGTTGCTCAGGAGAAGTGGATTGAGAAACATCTTCATAGAAGTTCTCCTGTAGCTCTGGGCCTTGAGTGGGGAGTGCATCTATCAGCTACAACTTCTGACTAGAGCAGGATGGCTGAAAACCAGTCAGTCAGTGGAGATGTGTGTTGGTGATTCCTCCTCCTGTGGTTAGCTTCTGAGCGTGGTTGGAGTGTTCTTTCTTTTGTTGCTGCTTACATCAGAAAGGAGGGGCCTTTGGAAATGTATTTTAGTCTGAAGATGGTGATCATATAACATATTGTTGGACTCCTGGCTGCCTGTGCTGGTTCAGAGGACGCTGCTTCTCTGCAGAGTGTGTGTGTATATGTATATATTATATGTATGTAGAAAAGATGACGTATTCTGAAGTCCTCATAATACTAATTAGTGTTATTATGAGGTAATCATTATAGGAACAATGAAAATGGGAAAGTTAATGATTTTTCAGGGATAAAATTGGTGTTTTGTCCAGTCATGCTAAAAACTGTATCTTGACAGAAAGTAAGGGCCTGTGGAGTCAGCTTTTAGTTGGCATTTTCTGCCTTTTTTTTTTGTATATGAGGTTAGAATTAACTTTCAGGGCCCCTCTTGGCTCCTAGTATTAATCCTTTTGTGGAAATGGTAATGAAGTAATAGCTGTTAGAGCCTAACAGAGAACTTGCAATAAGAAAACAAATGTCAACAATTATGAAAGTGACTTTAAATTTTGACCCTACGTTTGAAGGCGTGTAAATATACTGACATATTTTGTGCTGATACCATGGAGAAATACAGAACATACTGAGGTGCCTGTATGGTGCCTAGAAGTGGAGATAGCCATAGAGCATAATGACAATATGTCATTTTATTCTTCTAAAATATGTTAACCAGGTTATGGTTAAAAGAATGTGAAATGTGTAATTCTGAGCTGTTTGTAACTGTTTAAGTTCCGTGGGAGTCACTTTTACAGAAAGCATGTGGTTATAAGCTGTATAAAATGGGCTTTGTGTTTTCTTTAAGCATCAATCTTTTGTGCTAGATTTCAAAGCAAACAGGAAGAGTTTTGTTTGATACAACACGGTGTTTGAAACTGGTATTGTGAGAAGGGTATATATTATTGAAAAACAGTAGCATGGAGTCTTTCTGTTTTCTGTATAGTTGAATTAGGATAATATTTTTTATCATGCTGTTAGAGATCAAAGTATTAGTATAGTAAATAATCCTCTTTGTCTAACATGTCTAAATATATAGTGCAAGCTTGCCTACTGTGCTTCGTACTTCAGGAGAGTCCAAGAACTGACTGTGGGCTGTCTGCCAGGAGGACGACAGTTTGTGTCTCCATGTGGAAGACCATCTTTTGCTGGCACAAAATGGGATTATACCATTGCCAGGAGGCAGCTCCACCTTTCCAACTATACCATTGCCAGGAGTCAGTGACAGCTCCTTAATTATTGCTTTTGTCTGTGACGATTTATACTGTGTCTTCTCTGAAAAACATTCAGGAATGATCCTGTGACTTTTATAGTGTCTATACTCGATGTTTGCCACCAACATAAGCAGATGTGTTGTCTTTGTGCATGTAAGTTTGCCATATCTTTGCATCCATTCTCTATCTGTCTATATATATATCTATATGTGCATGTGCAACTGTCTAAACTGGCATGTTGATAACAGAAGGCAAGTTCTCCTCCAGCAGTTGCTGCCTGTTCATGGCTGACATGGCTGTGGTAGTGTCCTCAGCAAAATATATTTAGAAATGTAACCAACTAAATGTAGGTAACAGCCCCCAGGAAGTACATGTAGTTGTGTGTAGTTTCCTACAGTATGATGGCAGTTGTTTTTATTCAGATATGCTGCAGCAAATGCATAGAATCTGTAGAAATAATTTTATACATAAAATCAGTGTAAATAAGGATATTTAACATAAAACTGTTTGTTTTAAGGTAACAGTGTGTTAATGTTTTTGTATACGTGTTTATAAAAATGGACTTTAGAGTTCAAGCCTCATTGATACTAAACACAAGATATTTTGTCTACTGAAGATTACCCAGCGAGCCTTGTGTAGGTTTTAAAAAATACCTGTGGTTTTCAGAGCATTTTGGACACACAAATGTTAAGAAAAGACACTTGGGTAAATCAATAGGTGTTTTACCTGTTCTCTGAGACCGTGTTGTTTAACTGCACGTTTGAGATGCCCATAAGGCAGAAGAGCTCAGTTGGCTGTCTCATGAACTGTTCTTAATGAGCATTATGTTATTTCCCTCTCTCATTTTTCTAGGCTGTTCAATTAACCCCTAGACGATGGTTGAACCTGCAGGAGTACCAAAGCAAAAAAATAATGGCAGACCATGGGGTTGCAGTTCAGAGATTCTTCGTAGCTGATTCTGCAAATGATGCCCTGGAGGCTGCTCAGAGACTAAGTAAGTTGACTGATAATAGGAGGAATCTGCTTCACCAGATAGCAATCTGGAAAATAAATTGCTTTCTAATAAGTTGTACACCATCTTCAAATTGATGCTTATTGAAAATGTTTGAGATATTATGCAGATGATAAATATTTGCTTAATTTCAAATGTGAAATTGTGAAACTGAAAAGAACTTTATAACAGCAATATTTAAAACTTTATTTCTAAAATGCTTTGTATACAGCATGTAATGTGAAGCCTTTAATTAAAGTCATTTATGTAATTTTGGATAATTCAAAATTCAGAATGGCACTGTGAATGGTTGCTGAGAAAAGTTATTTGTTATTGTATACTTGATATCCTTTAAGGGACTGAAGGAAATGACTTGTGTAAGAAGTTATTTTCAAACAAAAATTTGCTCTTTCAAAAAGCAAAGGAAGGAAAAGATTGTGGACTTCACATTTTAGAAGATATTCAGAACCCATTTGGACATAGTCCATGTTAGCTGACCCTGCTTTGAGCTGGTGGGTTGGACTAGATGATCTCCAGAAGTCCTTGCATCCTCAAATGTATGAAAAAATAAGATATGCAGAAAATAATTATATGTGTATATTTGTTCACATGTATGTCTGTCCATATGGAGAGGAGAAATACGGTGAGTTGAGTTACCTCTCATCACAAAAGAATTTGGCTGGGAGACAAGACCATGCTTCTGGAACATCATTTTGTTTCTCTAACAACATCCTCATTTTAGTGTGGTGAACATAAGATCATATGGGTCAGAAATGAATTTATGTAATACTTCTCTCAAAAGGAAATGCACTGAAGTGCATTTGTCACCCAATTCTAACTATGAGAGAAGTTTTCTACTTCTTAAGATTAATAGTGGTTTGTATAGTTTTCCTCTTTTCATTTAGCTTCTGTTAATATATCACACATCAAAATGCCAGAGGCTAGACATTATTGTAGTCTAATTGTGTAGTAACAGGAAGGCTTTTTGTTTTATGCTTTACATAATGCACAAGCCACTTAGTTACATGCATTTCAGTTTGCACACTGGAAAGTAAATTAACATGACTTACTCATATCAAAGATCTCATCAGAACTCAAGTAGCTGAATAGCATTTACATAATGGCTTGCTGAATCTTTATAACTTTATTAAGATTATACATTTCTCAGTAATCAAAACCTTCTCATGACAACCACTATATTTGAAAATATATTTGAAACAAAAACATTAAATGCAACTGTTGTGGTCATTTGGCAGTGTGAAATGAAAAACACTGACACAAAGCAAAGCTCGTAAAATTGGAGAGTTCCCCATGTCTGGATGTCTGAGAAAAAACAAGAAATGCTAATTGTAGCAGTGGCAGGTTTTTCACCAGTCTTACAGTACTTAAACTCTCCTCTTCGTGATTGAACCCATAAATGGATTGGTCTATCCAATAACTATTACTGTTCCTGATCTCTATAACTATTTTGAGGAATAAATCACTCCATCAAAGGCAGTGAATGGCTTCTGTTTTATGATGCCAGATTTGTTTTAGATAACCCTTGTAGTTTGCTTGCTTTTCAAATCACAGAAATAGTGGTTTGGGTTTAGATTTTACTTTCTAATAAAAATTATTTCTCAATGAAACTTTATCAGGAAAATTGTAGGTATTTTAACTAGGCTGGCTTGTTAAAGTGTGAAAATTTTAAGTCAGTGGTACCTTTCTTCATGTTATATAAGTGCATTCAACTCTCCTGCATTACTAGGCATCAAAGAATTCTGATTCATAGTGTGGAAGCTATTTCATGTTGAAATGATTGACACTCCATTGATCCACTAAATAATTAACAACATCCTAGTAGTCATTCTGATAGCATGCTGTTTTTGTACTTTTAACATGTACTTTGAAAACTAAGCATCAAGAACACAAGTTTAGCTGTTGTGGTCGTTGTTCCAGGATTTTGTTGGATTTGTCTTCTTTATGATCCTTCAGACTAGTAGTATCTCTGTCACTCAGGTTTATCTCTACAATTTAATGTGGGCTGCCATCCTCTGAATATGCAACCACACAAAGTCAAAAGTTATGATCAAAACAAAACTCCAGCCTACAGGAGGCACAAAATTTTCCAAATTAAATAACCAATGGAGGCAGCTTTGGGATGTTCTTGATAGACAGGCATCTGCAGTAAAAGATGGTGAAAGAGAGGGGCTAATCACCCCTGCCAAGACCTGCTCAAATATATGGTGTTTTAGATCCTGTATGCCAAGTTGCAGCTGTCCTTAACTTTCACTTATTTAAAAAAGAAAGAATGCTGCCAACATATATTTAAGATAAAAATAAAGTTATCAAAACTTAAAAGTCAAAGGTTCAACATTTTTTTTTGTGAAATAAAGTTCTTGCTGTAACCTTGTCATAATGAATACAAGTGAAACAACTTTCCTTGATAATCTTACAGCATTAAATCACACACATGGGTCTGTGTGTGTGATAAAGGGGTAGAAATTCCTGACATCGATATCTTCACAAAGTCTGGTATTCACATATTGATTTCACCAAATACTACATGCTTGACACAGCTGTCAGTACTGCTGCAGTGCCTGTGGTCACCAATTATGCTATCATTGGTTCTCCTGTTGGTGCATTGGAAAGCAATGGAGTTAAATAATTTTTGCTGCTGTTTTCACTTGTCAGGAAGGTGTTAATGCCTGTGTTCTTGAAGTGGTTTGCCTTCATCCAGTATCAGCAGTTTTGTTGTAGTTTGCTCATTTCCTCTGTTTCTCTCTCTATTTTTATTAATATGTGCACTGAATACCCTGAATGTTAATTTTCTAAAAGATTTTCAAAACCTACCAACAGCACAAAAGGTAGTCTGCATGGAATTTTTAATGGAATTAAAGGATTGTGTTTTTTTTTTTTCCTTCTAAGATAAGAATGACAGATGTGAAGAAAATTAAAATGACATCACTAATATTGACTTCAAAAGAAATGGTACACAATAAGGAATACAGAATTCGGCCCCAAGGAATTCATTGCCTTGTACGTGCTAAGCATTTTTCAGGTGTAACTCGTGTAGAGGAAGTGATATTTGCAGAATACCAAGAAATGCAGTCACAAATGGGGTTGTGTTTCACATTAAAATTCCAAGGTTTTCAGTAGAGGAAGGGAAAGAAAGACGTGTTATTTCACTTGATCTGCCATCTGAAGAAACACAACCTGTAAACAGGTTCTTACACTCCTAGTGCAGCTGTTTAGCAGAACAAAGTGAAATATTTGGGAGCTGAGGTTTTGTGTGAAACCTAAGATCATCTGACTGTTCCTGAATTAAATCAAAGTCTTCTGATCCGATGTGCACTTAATGCAGTAGTGCTGCATACTGGAGTACCAATATAACAAAAAAATCCTTATATCTGCTTTGGTATACCCACACTACAAGAGAGACAGGGAGGTGCTGTAGCACGGACAAAGAACAGCAGCAAAGGTGGTGAAAGTTCTAGAGCATGTCTTATGTGGAGTGGCTGAGGGAGCTGAGGTGGTTGAGCCTGGAGAAAGAAGGCACTGGGGAGACCTTTTTGCTCTCTACAACCACTTGGAAGGAGGCTGGAGGAAGGTACTGGGCACTTCTCCCAAATAACAAATGCTAGGACAAGAGGAAACTGCCTCAAATTGTGCCAGGGGTGGCTTAGGTTGGGCTTTAGGATTAACGATTGGGCTTGATGGTCTTAAAGGTCCTTTCCAACCTAAATGATTCTATGACTATTAGAATGTTCACAGTTTCATTGCTTGTATTGGGCAGATGCACTGTGCATCATTTTTGGGCCATCATTTCCTCCAGCTTTCTTCACTAGAGGCTCTTAAGTCCCCTTCAGCTTGTGCACTCTTCTTTATCTTCTGCCTGATTGAGAAGTTATTAAGGGAACCATCATTTTAAACTAGTAGGTGGACAAGTTCAGAGGTTTATAATTATGCTGGAGGGTGTTACTCTGTACTGTCATTTGGCTCTCTGAATCAGTAGAGAACTTACAGAGGTGGTTGAAAATGCTGACAGTCCTAAATGGATACTGGAAGCTTGGCATGCATTTCTTTTTCTGATTTTTAAGAAAAGAAATGGAGTGCTGCCCGTTGCCACTTAGAGTGTTTTGTTACATTTAGGAATCAGTCAGGTGCAGTGTTCACACTCTATCACAGAGAAATGCAATTGAATTGAGTGCAAAGCTTTTATTCACTCTTTTAAAAAATGTATAACAAAATACAGTCTCTGCATATCCTATTTCTGTTGCCTTATGCATGAAGGAACTCATAAAATTCGGCTCTGGACTAAAGGCATTCTTTTTATATCAGGCTGGAGAGGTAAACATGTATTTTATAAAGAACTGAGGTAGTTTATGGAAGCCTCTTTTCATGAGGTCTTTACCTGTCACCTATTATTCACCATTTTTTATATTATTGAAAGAGTTCTCAGTCATGTGATCTCCAGGCTCCTTTCTATCTCAGCCTGCTGGGTTTTTTTTCCCCTGGCTATGTGTAATTTAGATGGAAGACTGCATTTTCAGATGCTGGTTTAGGTCTCTTGCCTGAAAGTTCATCTCTCCAATACAAGCTGGGAAAACCACTTGAAAGCAATTTCTGTTTAGAAGGGATCAATTTTTGATCTTAAACTTGTTAATGTCCTTCTTGTGTAGATTACGAAGAAATTGTTGACGATAATACTGCCTTCATTTAATCCAGGCTTTCAGGTTAAGAAAAATGAAAAAGTTCCTTGAACCTGATGTTTCTGAGGATATTATTAAATGTGAATTTAGGTTCTTTTTTGTTATACCAGGAAGAGCTTTTCTGTGAGTATCCTGTAGAGACCAGCCCTCAATTGTTGAAGTTGTACTTTAGTAACTTAATTTACTCTTCAGTCTCTGAGTTCGTTGGCTGCTTAGCTGATTGTTTTTTAGTGTCATCACGTGCTTTGCTTACATGATTCAATTCCCTTTTTTCTTCTCTGACAGAATAGGTAGGAGAGGAATTGCCTCCCT